CACAGCCACGGCCTCCACGAGCAGCACTAGGCCCAAGGCACTAGGGAAGCGGGGCGCACCCACGGTCGCCATGAGCACCTCAAACTGCAGCGCGCCCACCATGCCATAGGAGAGGCCGAAGGCGATGCAGAAAGCCACGAGGGTGCCGTAGGAGCGTGCACGCGCGCTAATCAGGTCCGTGAGCCCGTTGGCCAACAGGGCCAGGCTGAAGAGGTAGGGGACGTGGGGTCTTAGGCGCCCCAGGCCCGCCAAAGCACCACATGCCGGCCGTGCCACGATGTCTACGAAGCCCACGATAGACAACAAGAAGGCGGCCTCGGCATCAGGCACACCTGCGTCCTTGGCGTAGTTCACCAGCAGGATGGCCGGCACAAAGAGCCCAAGTGCCATCAGGAACTTGGTGATCACGTACACCACGAAAGCACGGTCAGTGCACACTGCCACGTCCAGCAACCGCCGGCGGCGAGCCCGGCCACCGGGGGGTGCGGGGTCTGGGCGCGTCGGGGGTCCAGGGGGCGGACGCATGACGGCTCCACAGGCGCAACAGTGCAGCAGGAGACCGCCAAACAGCAGGAAGCCGCCGCGCCAGCCAAACCGCTCCCCCAGCAGCTGCCCGAGCGGCGACAGAGTGGACAGAAACACCGGGCTGCCCGCCGCTGCCAGCCCGTTGGCCAGGGGCCGTCGCCGCTCAAAGTAGAGCCCCAGCATGATGAGCGACGGCTGGAAGTTGAGAGCCAGGCCCAGGCCTACGGGCGAGGCGACGTGGCTGGGGTGTCCCTTCTGGTCCCAGCTGCTAGTCCGGGCTGGGCCCCCGACAGGGAGGATGGGCCCGCGCCCGGGATACTGAGCCAGGGCCGCCCCTTTGGGAGAAACTAAGGACTTAACAGCAGGGACCCCCGACCTGCACCCATCCCCCTGCAGGGGAGAACCCTGGGTACCCTCACCTGTGAGCACCCCAGCCGTCAGGTACAGCTCCAGGAGGCGTGAGGCAAAGGAAGCCAGAATCATGCCCGCTGAGGCCAGCAGTCCACCAGCCAGCATCACCGGGCGACAGCCAAAGCGCGTCACGAGGATGCTGGACAAGGGGCCTGTGGGCAGCGCAGAGTCACCGTCCAGGTTGGACCAATCTCCCCTCCAAAAAAATGTGCCAAGCCTCGTATCTCAGACGCCTGAAAGACCTTGAAGGAGTAGTTACGTTACTCCTCCTCACCCCCTTCAGAAGCAGAGGACAGCTTCTGGTTAAGGTCACACAGCTTGACTAGTCAGACAGGGAGGTGTGTGAGTGTGTGTGTGTGTGGGGGGGTCTGTGTTGTGGCCACTCATCCCTTACCCCTCTTGAGAACACACAACCAAAGTTGACATCTACTCTTCATTCTCTGGGTGTCTCCAGGCTGCCAACCTCCTGAAAGCTCTCATCCACTCTACCACCAAAACTCTGGCCAGCTGTAAGGCTATAGGGAGTTGGAACGCTTCTCCAGGGTAATGTAGTCCAGTGTAGGTTTGTTGGCAGGGATGGACCCCCAGTCCCCTCAAGGCAGCAACAGGAGTGTGGCTCCATTTCAGTGGATGTGTCCTACCCACTCTTCCCTAGGGCTGGGGCTTCCACAAGCTAGCCACGGAGATGGGGGTGCTTCTCTAGGCTCTAGATTCCCAACCCCAGGATGGAGCCCAGGAGGCATTGTCTGGAGGAGTGCTGACCTGTACCGTAGAGCATGGCCAGCATAATCGAGGACACCCAGGCTGTGTCACTGTAACCTGCCCCGAAGTCGCGCTTGAGCTCTCGGAAGAAGACGCTCACAGCCTTAGGGAAGCCGTAGGCGAAACCGGTGATTACGAAGCAGGCGCCCAGCACCACCCAGCCCCAGCCACCATCTGGAGGGCCAGCACCCCGCCGCGGGCCACCAGCACCCATTGTTTCTGCTGGGGAAGAGGGAGAGAGACAAAAGGCAGTGGTGTAGGGGAATGGATTGAGAAACAGCCCAGGACACCCACTGAACCCTTTCAGGTTCATGGAGCCAGCAAGGTTGGAAGGTCACTCCAAGTTTTCCCTGACCTTCCTGCAAAGGCCTGTGAAGAATGAATAGAGACTTGACTTCGAGGTTTCCTCACCAGGCTTCTCTCCTCTGGGGACCTAGTGACAGCAGGGGCAGAGGTGTAGTGAGTGCCAGAGGCCAGCAGCTACTGTGGCCCCCAAGTGTGCTACACCTTGTTTCCTAAGACCAGGGATAACATGATTCAAACAACAAGGAATAGTTGCCTCGTCCCAGGCTGCTTTGGTCCACTTTGAAACCAGTTCTGGAAAGAGTTTGCCCTGTAACTTGGACAAGTCTTCTCTCCTGGCTGAGCCTCAGTTTCCCCACTAGTAGGATGACTTGTACTCTAGCCCGAACCCTTGGAGAGGAGGGTGGGGCCTCAACCCCATGGGGAGGTGAGATAGAGACCTGAGCCCCAGCCAGCAGTTCCCAACCTAGACCCTCCATCCCTAGGCAAAGGGGTTCTAAGTCTTACTGCACCCCCAACAGGTGGGGAGGGTGGAAGCCCTAAACCTCTCCCCAGGGACACCTGGGACTCTGCCCTCCCCCCCCGTTCCAGGCTCTGACTTTCCTTGCTGCCCCCCCCCCCCACACACACACCTCACCACCACCATGACTGTGAACACAGGAACAAGAAGCAGGTTCCTGTCAGTCCTCACCACACGCTCACCTGGACTTGACTATGGATTTAGGGTTCAGCCTCACATCTCCTGAGGCCTGCAGGAGGGGCAGCCTCTAGCTCCAACAGCCTTGCCAATGGTGGCTGCTCTCCTGCTGACAACTCCTTCCCCAGGCCTGGGGCTTAGGGTCTCCTCATCTCACCCCTGCTAAGAAGCTTTTACCAGGAAGGAGACTGGGCACAAGTGACCGTGAGCTGGCAGGGCTGACACAGTGGGACAAGGAGACCCCCCTTCTCTCCCTGGGTCCCAATGGGGCACAAAACCCTACCTTGGGGGAGGGGTCATAATCTGGGGATGGGGGCACAGCGGTTCCCTGGAGTAGACCTAGCCTATCAAGTCAATTCAGGGCACTCTTGCTCCCACCCTCGTTCCCCCCCCCCTTTCACATTCCAGGAGGGGCTCCTAGCTTCCCTTGGATAAGGCTAATCCAGGCCTGAGCCTGGCTGTGAGGGGGTGGCCCGAACAAAGGGTGCTGTGTCCTAGGCCAGCTAAGAGGAGCAGGCACCATTTCTTGGGATTCCATTTAGAGATGGGAGATGCCTTCATGTAATCTTAAAGACTGCTCAAAAAAGGGGGTCCTGAGGGGCTGGCCTGAGATTCCCTTCTCTAAAAGGTGTCTTAGTCAGGGTTTTGATTCACAAAACCACACAGTACAAAACCAGTCAGTACAACTGACCCCTTGTCAACTTGACACACAAACATATCACTATTAAGCCCCAACCCTTACTTTCTTATTCATCCCCAAGATCTAAGTAATGTTAGAAGTCGCAGTCTTTACAAATTCTTACATATTAAAATTTCAATCCCTTAAACATACCCAATCTCTTAGAATTAAAAGTCTCCTTACAGTTCAAAGTCTCTTAAGTGTGGGCTCCACTAAAAATACGTTCTTTCTTCAAGAGGGAAAAATATCAGGGCACAGTCACAATCAAAATCAAACTCTAACCGTCCATTGTCTGGGATCCACTCGTGATCTGGGCTCCTCCAAGGGCTTGGGTCACCTCTCCAGCCCTGCCTTTTGTAGCACACATTTTGTCTTCTCGGCTCCAGTTGCCTGTGCTCCACTGCTGCTGCTGTTCTTGGTGGTCATCTCATGGTACTGGCATCTCCAAAACACTGCTATATTCTGCTGCACTAGGCTTCACCAATAGCCTCTCATAGGTTCTCTTCATGGTGCCAAGCCTTAACTCCTTTTTCATGACCTTTCAGTCCTCGGCCGTCAGTTGCAACTGAGGTTTCATCTTCACTAATGCTCTTCCCTGGCCTCTCAGTGCGGAGCCTCAGCTGCTCTTCACAATCCCTTCATGACTTCAAAACCAGTTCCACCTGAGTGGCTCTTACACATTACCAAGTCCAGCCACAGCACAAAGTACAACCTTAGCTATCTCTTGAACACAGCCTCTTTGTGCTCTCAGAAAACACTTCCCAGAAGATTTCACCTCAGTGATGCTGGTCTCTTCTTAATCACTGCTAATTTCTTAGCTTCAGCTAGCCAGCATCAATAGTGTCAGTAATGCAAAGGTTTTGCTTTAGTAGTTCTGGTATCTTGTTAATCACAGCTGATTTTTCAGCCCCAGCTAACTCAAACCACAGAATCTTCACAATCAAAATAGCAACAGCCCTAAGTGTCTTTAATCTTCTCTTCCCTCTGAAATTTCACAAGCCAGACCTCCATCTTCTGCACTGTTCTCAACATTATTTTCCAAGCTCCTACAGAACATCCCACAGAGCTCTTAACACCCAATGACTCTTCTAGCTCAAAGTTCCAAAGTCCTTTCACAGTCCTGCCTCAAACACACCAGATTGTCACAGGAATAGCCCACTATGCTGGTACCAATTTGTCTTAGGGTTTATATTCCTGCACAAACATCATGACCAAGAAGCAAGTTGGGGAGGAAAGGGTTTATTCAGCTTACACTTCCATACTGCTGTTCATCACCAAAGGAAGTCAGGACAGGAGCTCAAGCAGGTCAGGGAGCAGGAGCTGATGCAGAGGCTGTGGAGGGATGTTACTTACTGGCTTACTTCCCCTGGCTTGCTCAGCTTGCTTTCTTATAGAATCCAGGACTACCAGCCCAGGGATGGCACCACCCACAAGGTGTCCTCCCCCCTTGATCACTAATTGAGAAAATGCCTTACAGCTGGATCTCATGGAGGCATTTCCTCAAGGGAGGCTCCCTTTTCTGTGATAACTCGAACCTGTGTCAAGTTGACACACAAAACCAGCCAGTCCACCAGGGGATCTCCACCTCCAAGACTGTCCCCAAATCAGACACCTCCACTCCCACTGTGCCAACTTCCTTTATTTTTATCATTTACAAAAGTTAAACAGGGGTGCAATTGGGACAGAGGTGGGAGAGGGGGTGCTTCCCATTGGGGCACAGGGAGAAAGAAGATGGAAGGCAAGATGCTGGATCCCCGGAAGAGTCTTTGGGTTCCGGAAGCAACAAGCTGCTCTGTGCCTCCACCCCCTTCTGCCTGCTCCATGTTGCAAGCCCAGCCCTCAAGGAGATCCTGGGCTAGGGGGAGAGGGGTAAGAATGATCCCCTGGGTTGGCGGCTGGCATCTCGGATCCGCTGCTGCTGCTGCTGTTGTCGTCGGCTGGAATAGCTCTGTGCAGGTGTACTGGGCCACCTCAGGCCCCGGTGGAAGGCTTCGCCTCAGCGGATGAGGGGTGCTGAGCGATCGTTGGTGACAGTGGGACGCAGCTTCACGGTGGCAAAGGGATTTGTACCCCTGTGGGGGATAGGCTTGGGTGAGGGCGACTGATCCCTACTGGCTCAGGGCCTAGGTAGAGTGGCCAGGCAGCTGGCCGGGCGGCTGCTTCTCGCTGCCCTCCTGCTTTGAGTCACCTGCTCCCATCTGGCCTCCTGCCCGCTGGACTCACCGTGGAAAGAGCTCTGGGGGATTCTGTTCCCAGGACATAAGTTTCTGCACGAAGGGAGGGGAGGTTCAGGGGAGAAGGGAAGATGGGGTCCCACCACTCACCCCAGAAGAGCACAGAACTAGGAGATAGAGGGCCTGCAGGGCCAGATTTGAGAACACTGTGCAGCCAAAAGTCTGGCTACTTAGTTGAGAGAGCTCTAGGCTCTGCACAGTGCCATGGCCTGGGGCTCACTGCCCCTGCAAGGTAAGGCTGGTAACCCTGTGGTCCCAGCCCACTCCTTCACCACCACTTCCCCCCATCCCCCGGAGAGGAGTGGTCAAGGTCTCCCTTGCAGGGCTATTCCATAGGTCTGGCCAGACCGAGGACAGGTGGGGCTGACCTTGACATCGGTGGCTGCCCCCATGCTGCCCACACTGCTGCGCCTGCTGCTGGGCAAGGGCGGGGGTGCGGGGCTCGGGGCACGGCTAGGGACACGGCTCGGGGTCCGGGAGCGGGACTGACTATCCCAGTATTCTGAAGATGCTGTGGGATTGCCTGGCCGGTCCAAGAGGTCATCAAGGCTGTGGCTGCCCCGGAGTGGGTAGGACCTGAGTCAGAGAAAGCAGGCAAGCCTGGTGCCCCCTCCCACCTGCTGGGCCTGAGGCTGGGGAGCAGGGATTGTGAAAGGGGCCCTGACGGGAGGCTCAGTGAGCTATACAGACACCATCATTCGGAGGTGGGAGACCTGGGCCACAGTTCTCCAGAGACCAAAGAGGCCAGACCCATTAGATTATCAAATAGATGCCTCCTGGGGAGGAGAGGCAGGGATGCCCTTGGGCCCCACCCCACCAACTACGGTACCTGGAAGGCAGTTCATTCATTGGGCTCATGGGGGCCATGGAATTCATGGGGGCCACAGGGCTCATGGGATTCACTGGCATCTCCTCCAAAGGTTTCACATAGGCCTCTGGGAACCAGCCACTCCTGTAGGGCAGACACCAAGGGCCCCTTGAGCCAGCGTGGCTTTCCCGGTAGTCTGGGCCTAACAGAACCTGTGGCACTTAGCCTCATGTCCCACCAGGTGCCGAGGCACCCAGGAGAGAGGCAGTTGGAATCTAAGCCAGCAGGCTGTTGAAGGTCATCCAGTGACACCCATCAGCCATGAGTCCTCTGGTTAGTTCTCTGGCTCACTGCTCAGCACCAGTTTGGAGTCGGCCTGGGCTAGTGGGTTGTACAGTGATGAGGGACCTCAGCCACCAGTCCCCATACTCCTTTATCTTTCAGGAAGCCTCTGGGCAGCAGATGTTGGGAGAATATTCTCCAAAGGGTCCCCTTCATCCAAAAGTGGCTGACATAGCAAGCCAGGCCCAGTAAAGAGACACTTGTCCTAACCTCTGCCCTGCTGGTGGGTAGGGCAGTAATATCTAGTAGGCTTTGTGGCTGGCTCTGCAAATCATCTGTGGTGTAATGTGGGTTGGCATGGCACCAGCTGCAAGGCCAAGTCACCTCTGCTCCTGGTCCACAGGACACTGATGAGTCTTGACTTCCATCCTTAACTGGAAGCTATGTTACCTCCCTTAGGCCCCACCTCTGCTCACCCTCCTATAACTCACCTGGGCAGCCACCCACGGGCCTCCTGCAGAATATCCACTGGGGCACTGGTCACACCCATCAGTCCACCACCTATCTAGTCAGTCCCCCCTCTGTACATACAGATGTCCACACCCACATCTTACTCCGTCCCTACCACCCCACTGTACTCCACGTCTACCTGGACCCCATACGACCCCCACTTCAGCCCCCCACCACCTGTCCGTTTATCATTCACCACCCCCAGACTCCTGTAGGAGTGCGCCCAGCGGTCACCTCTCGACCCTTCAGGGTTCATGCATTGGCCTCTACTGAAGATAGAGGAGAGGTTCAGGCTGAGCCACACCCTGTCCCCTCCTGCAGAAACCAGAGCCCCGCAAACTCTTTAATGGGTCACCAGTCCCACACTGTGCTCCAGGTTGTGTGGAGACTCCGAGATGTCTGTTCCTCCTGCCTCCACATTAGGGTGTAGAAAAGCCCGAGTAAGTTCTTCAGGGCTGTGAACTATTCAATGTCAGCAAGGAGGGTCTCTCCCTCCATCTCTATTTCAGCTCCAGCACAGGAGGGCGCAGAGGGGCACACAGAAGGCATGGAGGCAGGGGTTTTGTTGAGCCCCTCGCTTCTGAGATTCCGCTCGCTGCCCATCCATCCCATCTGCCCTCCTATTTGACTCATCTCAGCCCTAGAAGCGGCTGAGTAAACTGAGGCCAGCAGGGGTTGAAGAAGGAAACCTCAGTGGAGCGCAGACCCTGGGGCTCCACTCACGCGGACGAGCCCTCCAGCTTGCCGTAGAGCCAGCCGTTCTGAGCTTCGGGCACCAGCACTTCAACTACGTCTCCAGCCGAGAAGCGCAGCAGCGTGTGGTTGGCACCCTCCGAGTGGGAGACCAGGGCGCGGACTCTCCTGGCGCCCCCGCCGCCCAGGCGCTCGCCGAAGGAATTGGACCGCGAACGCTGGGTGCTGCTAGCGTAGAGAGAGGCTGCAGGGATGAGAGTGGAAGTTGTTAGTTTACCCTCCATCCTTCCTGTTGAAGCCCAACCCACAGCCGCTTCCCAGCCCGCCCCCTGCACCCTTGGGTGCTAGGTACCCACAGGCCGACGGCGTCCGGGGCAGCGATCGGCGGTCTGGCTCCAACTGGGACGCGGACCTCGCCTCGGCGGGCTCGGGGCCGTAGGAGCCGGAGCCGTGCCGGCTGCGGGGGGAGCCGTACTCTCCCAGGGGCCTCGGGGGCTGCGAGGGGAGAGGGCAGGGGGTGGGGCGGGAAAGGCGGAGCCTGGCTAGCCCCGCCCCCAACCCCAGTCCCAGGGGTCGGCGTAAGGGTTGGGGACACGGTGGGGCCACCACAGGGGCGCTGAGGCGATCCCCCGGCGCCAGGGCGCTAGGGGTGCGGCGTAGAGCGGGGACGCAGGGGGCGGCGGGCTCCAGGCGCAGGGCGGCGGCGCCCAGGGCCCAGAGAAGGGCGGCGGGGGCGCGAAGGGCGGCGGGGGCGGCCAGGGCCTCACCATGTCCAGCCGGGTGGGCGTCAGGCGGCCCGAGGGGTAGGGCGGCCCCAGCGCGGGGCCCAGCAGCCCTGGGGAGTGGGCACGCGATGGGCTGCGGCTGGCCTCCGACTGCTCCTTCCATAGCAGCACGCGGTTCTGCAGCATCCCCCGGGCCTGGCGGGAGACACTGGGTTAAGTGTGTCCCCCAGACCCCGGGGCCCTGCAAGTGTGACATCTTGGGCATTCCTTAAGACACTCCACCCCTCATTCCAGAGCCTGCCTTTCACGTGAAAAAGGCCAGCACTCCAGCCCTTGCAGAGGCAGCTGGGGCAGCCCAGATCTGTTGGGGTTAACCACACACGCACTGAAGTTTGCCCACTCTTCCCTGGCCCATTCCTAAGAAAATTATGGGCCTGTCAGGCTCTGGGCTTTATAGGGGGCCATGGTCCTTCACCATGCACACATCTCTCTGGGTCCTAATCTGAGCAAGCTGCATGTTTTAGCTATTAAAAAGGTTGAACTGGGAAGTTTGAGTAAAGCAAAGTGCCTAAGCCGTATGTGGGTCTCCAGACAACTAGCTAGTTAGATGAGTCCAACGACTATCGAGCTCTGGGTTCATCAAGAAGACGCTGCCTCGGTTAATAAAGCAGAGAGATCAACCAATGAAGACACCTGGCTTTATCTCACTTGACTCTCTTAGTGGACCCTCAGTCTTACAGAAGATGCCGAGGGTCAGAGAGATCAGTGATGGCCTCGCCGAGCGGCAGAGTCACCTTTGGTCATCTATCAAGGATTTCTCCTTGGCAACTGAAGCTGCTGCTGGCAAATTCAGAGCAGCCTCCTGCTTCAGTGACCACAGACCCTGGGTTGTGGGAGCAGCTGGTCCAGCAGGCCTGGGTGGACGCCATGTTTTCCTGCAGCCAGTAATTAGCCCAGGTGCTCAGAGAGGAGCTCTGGGGGCAGTGAATTGCTGGCACACCAAGCCTTGCCTGATGTTTTAAAGGGACCTTTACCCAATTTGAGAGGCCCTGGCCAGGACAAAAACAGCCTGACAGAGCTTACTTTTCTTAGCCCAGTTAAACAGCACCCAGGGAAAAGCGGAATGGAGCTGGAGTCCCAAAACCAGAGTCGGCACCATGCAAGAATACACAGTAGAATGGAACTGGGATTCCCGGATGATAAGAGCCCCTAAGTGTGAAAAGAAGAGATGACTCAGAGGATAAGCCTGGTGGCCCAAGTAAGAAGGCACATATATGTGAGCTCAACACTCCTACAGTGGGATGAGAGGTGGAGTCAGGAGGCTGACAGGTCAGCTGGTCTGGGGTACGAAGTGCGGCAGCAGAAGCAACAAGAGACCGTGTCTTGGCAAGGTAGAAGGCAAGAACCCACTGACCACACGTGCACTGTGGTACATGAATGCATACACACAAATACATCAATATTAAAAAAAAATCAAATGAGGGCTGGGGTGTCCTTTGGTTGGTAGAATATTAGCTTAGCACGCACAAAGCCTCGAGTTCCATCCCAGGCACTGCATAAGCCAAGCATGATGGCGAACACCTTGATCCCAGCGCTCAGGAGGTAGAGGCTGGAGGAGCAGGAATTTAAGGTGGTGCGAGAGAGGCCTACCATGGTGGCACTCTCCTGTCATCCCAGCACGCAGGAGACAGAGGCAGGAAAATAGCTGCAAGTTTGAGTCTATCCTGGCCTGCATAGCAAGTTCTAAGCTAGCCTGGGTTATTACATAGCCATGGGTCACCACCAAGGATTTTTCCAGAACAGGAGAAAGCTCATGTTGGCAGCCGGGCCACAGCTCCGGGGTAGGCACTCACCTAGCATGTGTCAGGCCCTGTGGTTCACTCCTACTTTTGCCAGAAAACAAAATGAATACTGAAGAGTCGGCTCAGTGTGTAAAGTGCTAAGGACAGGAGTGTGAATTCCCCAGAACCTCTACAAACTGGGAGGTCCTAGATTCCCGTAGGCTAGCTAACCTGGCTGATCCAGCTCCAGAGAGTTCTGGGTTCAGCAAGAGACCCTGGCCCCAGTGTGGTGGTTTGAATAAGTATGGCCCTATATGCTCATGTGTTTGAATGTTTGGCCCACAGGAAGGGGCACTATTAGGAGGTGTGGTCTTTTTGGAGTATGTGTGGCCTTGTTATAGGAAGTGTGTCACTGCAGGAGCGGGATTTAAGGTCATATATGCTCAAGCTAGGCCCAGTGTGGCACAGTCTCCTGCTGCCTGCGATCAAGATATAGAACTCTCAGCTCCTCTTCCAGCACCATGTCTGCCTGTGTGCCACCACGCTTCCCACTCTGGCGATAATGGACTAAATCTCTGAAACTGTAAGTCAGTTCCAATTAAATGTTTTCCTTTATAAGAGCTGCCATTGTCATAGTGTCTGTTCACAGCAATAAAACCCTAACTAAGACCCAGTAAGCAAATCGGAGAGGAAGACATCAGACACCAACCTCAGGCTGTACTACACACACACATGGGCATGAAACAAAAAACAAAACCAAAAAACAAACAGAAAAAAAACCAAAAACAGAAACAAAAGAAACTGTCCATAAATTAATAAGCAAAGTGAAAGAAAAAATTATGATGTGTCCCAATGAAGAAAAACAGCTTTAAAAATGGAGACAATTCCAATCTTACAAACAAAACTCATATTTAAGAGGGGATGTTCCATAGAAAGTCATTTTACCTTTTGATTAGCCAAGATTAAAAAACCAGTCTCCAGGCTATTGTTAAGGGCCCTGAAGGTGGGCATCTCACAGACTGTGGGTGGAGTACAAACCCCTGCAGTATAGCAGCATCCTCTGGCTCTGCCACTCCGTCTGCATTTGGAGATGCCTTGAAGGTTGTATCACTCAACCGGGAGCTGGGGTGAGGCAGGAGGAAAGGAAAAGACACCTTCCTATGCCAACACCCTTGGATTTCTTCACATGTCACTCTATGCTTTCTGCTTCTTTAGTGGAACATAGTATACTGGGTAATGGCCTGGAGTCATGAGGAATTGAGTCAGGCTACACTGGACAATAGCTCCAAGCCAGAAAGAATTGCTCTGCCCCAGCCTGAGCATCTGTTTCACCTGCAGAAACAATACGCCCAGATATGGAAAATGGAACCTGGCTCCTATCCCAGTCTAATCACAAAAGCTAGCTGTAACTTCCTGGTAGGTGGAGGGAGGGAGGGAGGGAGGGAGGGAGGGGGGGAGAGAGAGAGGGGGGGGGGGAGGGAGGGGGGGGGGGGGGAGGGAGTGAGTGAGGGAGGG